CTTCAAGAAGAAGGAGGGAATCCCCGGGGTGGAGAAGCCTAGGTACAAGGCTAGATTGGTTGCTAGGGGATTCTCACAGGTGAAAGGGATAGATTTCAATGAAATATTTTCACCGGTGGTTAAACATTGCTCAATCAGAATCGTGTTGGCACTAGTAGCTCAGTATGACCTTGAGTTGGAACAGATGGATGTGACAACAGCTTTCTTACATGGTGACTTGGAGGAAAAGATTCATATGGATCAGCCAGAGGGATTCATTGAGGAATCTAACCAAGACAAGGTCTGTTTGTTGAGGAAAGCACTATATGGGCTCAAGCAAAGTCCAAGGCAGTGGTATAAAAGATTTGATGACTTTGTGTTATCAATTGGTTTCGACAGATGCAGTTATGACTCTTGTGTGTATGTAAGAAAAGCAAAAGGAAGAGTTAGAGCTTACTTGTTGCTGTATGTGGATGACATGCTCATTGCAAGCAAGTCCAAGGAGGAGATAAATGATATCAAGGAGAAGCTGAAATCTGAGTTTGACATGAAAGACTTGGGGTCTGCCAAGATGATCTTGGGAATGCAGATATTGAGGAACAGAAGAAGTGGTTACTTGTTCCTGTCTCAACAGTCTTATATTGAGAAACTGTTGTTGAGATACAACATGCATCAGTCCAAGGCAGTGTCTACTCCTATGGGGCAGCATTTCAGACTCTCAAAGTCCCAAGCACCTGCAACTGATGAAGAGAAGAGGTACATGGCAAAGGTGCCTTATGCAAATGCAGTTGGGAGCTTGATGTATTGCATGGTGTGCAGTCGGCCAGATTTGGCACATGCTGCAAGTGTGATCAGCAGGTTTATGGCTGATCCAGGGCAGGCACACTGGGAAGCACTCAAGTGGACTTTGAGATACATGAAGGGATCTGCTGAGATTGGACTTCTATTCAAGCGGAATGATAGAATAGAAGGTGATGCGTTGAAGGGTTTTGTGGACTCAGATTATGCTGGTAGTATTGACACAAGGAAATCCTTAACAGGATATGTGTTCACTCTGTTTGGGACTGCAGTGAGTTGGAAGTCAAACCTCCAATCAGTGGTAGCTTTGTCTACTACGGAAGCTGAATATATGGCAGTGACTGAGGCCGTCAAAGAAGCTATATGGATGATTGGGATGGTTCAGGAGTTGGGGATTGATCAAAAGAATGTGAATGTGTACTGTGACAACCAAAGTGCAATTCACTTGACAAAACATCAAGTGTTTCATGAGAGGTCTAAACACATTGATGTGAGACTGAACTTTGTGAGAAATACTGTCTCTAAAGGTCGGATCAAGGTGGAGAAGGTGCATACAGATGACAATGCTGCTGATATGCTAACAAAATCTTTACCGGTTTCAAAGTTCAAGTATTGTATGAACTTGGTGAGCTGCTGTAGGCAGTGCTAGCTTGGTAATAAGCTAGGGGGTGCTAGCTTGGTAAGAAGCTAGGTGAATCTAGCTTGGTAAGAAGCTAGGGTGCAGAGAGGAGAGTGGTAAGAGAAGCCTACGTGGAGTATGAGTCAAGGTGGAGAATTGTTATAATATGACTCATATCCACGTGTACATGCCAAGTAGATACTTTAACTGAGTCAGCAGTTAGGGTAAAGCCAAGGGATGAGCTGGAAAGTGTAAGGAGCTGTTACACTAGAAGACAGATCCGTGAGGACCACTCTGACAGTGGTGGACACCTGTCGAGCTCACAGTGGTTTACTTGGGGACCAAGTTTGCTTTTTGCTAGGGTTTGCTGCATATATAAAGCACTTGGTGGAGAGGCTTGGAGGCTAAGGCTAATCAAGGGGATAAGGCTTGAAGGGCTGGAAACTCAAGAACAAAAGGAATAAGCTAGAAGGAACTCAAGAAGGAAATCTTCACAGATTCAGTGAGATTTGGGGTTGGGAAACAAGAGAGAAACAGTGAGGTATACACAGGGGAGTGTCAATACAGCTTAGGTGAAATAGCTGTTGAGAGCTTGAGTGTTTTCACTATCTTGTAATATGTAACCTTCTTGTTCTAGTGGATTTTTTGTTCTCTCTGCACAGTGGATGTAGGCCTGTGGTGATACAGGTCGAACCACTTTAAATCTCGTGTTCGTTATCTGTTTTATTGCTTTCAGTGTTAGATCTGTGATAACTGTAGTTATATTATCTGCATCGGTGACAACCATCGGTTGAGTCAACACAGTGATATCTGTGTGTTCTTCTTGGTTTTGATTCTAATTGTGTGTGTCTTGTTATTGTCTGTGGACCATTATTCACAACATATATATATAGGGGGCATGAGACATGTGGTCTGTGTTGCGGAATGGCCCTGCAAAGGGAGGGCCAACTATCGATTCTTTCTTCACCACTCACTCTAGCATGGGATGTGGGAATGGGCCTTCTTATGGCTGCCCATTTTCTGCCAAAACCCACCACTTTTCAATTTTATATATATATATATATATATATATATATATATATATAACTAGGGGTGCAAGTTGGAATGGAATTTCCAATTTCCGCCGGTTCCGATCCAAAAAGTTCCGATTTTGGAACAACTTTTTTTATTCCGACTTCCGAAATTCCGATTTCCGAATTTTTCCGATTTTTTTGGATTGGAATTGGATTTATATAAAATATATTTGGAATTTCCGATTTTCCGATCCGATTTAATTCCGAAATTAATTCCGAAAAATTCCGATTTTTTTTCGAAAAATACACCTATTAATAATATATATTATATAATATTTATTTTCCGAAAAATACACCTATAAGTTTTCTCTTAGGATTTTGACATAATGAATTGCTGTTACAAGTTTTATTGGATATTATGTTGTGTTTATTTTTATTTATTTTTTAACTAAAATTTTGTAGTAATTAGTTTTTACTTTTATCGACGTGGATGTTCTTATTTTTGAAAAATTATGGACATTTTGAGAAAATTTCGGCTAAGTTTTGATATTTTAAAGCTTATGTGATTTGCGATTTTTTTCCGAAATTCCGAAATTTCCGCGCCTTTTGGAATTGGAATGAATTTTTAGATTCCGAAAATTTTGGAATTGGAATTGGAATTGATTTTGTACTTCCGAAATTTTTTGGAAATTTTCCGAAAAGGCTAATTCCGATCCGATCCATCCGACTTTCACCCCTATATATAACACACCTTTTTTTTTAACTACCAATATTTATTTACGCTAATTTTCAAATCTCTATACAAATATATATACTATATATATTAGATAATTGTGTCACGATACGAGGAAACCTAATTTTAATGCTATATATATATATATATATATATATATATATATATAATTTTTAGTTTCATTTAAAGAGATCTTTATAACTCTCATGTGCAAAGCAATTGGGTAAATTACAAAAAAACCTCTGAACTTAGGCTAAATTATGCGCACTCACCTATTTCTAATTATCAAAACCCCTCGACGATTGTTTCCGTCTTGCATCGATTTTTTTACAGTATGATTTTTCTTGGAATCTCTTTTATTTCAAAGAATACTTTTCATAAAAATGTCAATTCTACCCCCTACAGACGTAGAACCTATTGAAGGTAAGCCATGCGATAATGTTAAAAAAAAAGTTGCGTATGTATGCTATGATGGTTCGTACTAGCAATTCACGAAGTGTAGTGACATTGCATTGTGATGTTGGCGAAAATGAGATTATTATAGAAGGTATACCAAAGACACCTACATTAATTTAAGAGATTGTTCTTAGGGGTAGAATTATCATTTTTCGGAGGATAATCCAAAAATTCAAAAAGATTTTGTGAAGGTGACACTATAAGGGGCCGGGTTGATGTAAGGCGGAAACAAATGTCGGGAGATTTTGGTAACTACAGATAAATGAGGGTTTTTTCGTAATTTAACCTAAGTTAAAGGGGTTTCCGTAATTGTGAATATTATAGTTGGCCTCTCGCATTATCAAGATTCAATATTTTAATATACTCAGAATTGATTCTGAGCTGTTACTCCTGATTAGATTAATTAAACTGAATGTTTACTTTGATGTTCAAAAAAAAGTATATATTTATTATAAATTAGAAAATGCCCCGTTTGGTGGTTCCATTGTGTTGACAGAATGTTCATTTCTTCATTACCGACACCCATATTAAAAACAACAAATTAGACCTGGTTGGTAATAAGCAGACGAAAAATGGACCTTTCATTTGATATGACTCTGATACTGAGCATTTAATGACCACCTTAATAAAAATCTTAAATTGTAAGTTCATTGAAATGTATTATTCAATATTAAGATGTCTAAAAATGCATGTGAAGTGTAATTGCTTATTAGGGTAAATTACGTTCACGTCCTTGATGTAAGGTTAAAATACGAAAAGATACCTTATGTTTGGGTAATTACAACCACTCCCTCAACTATGAATCTTCTTACACGTCCATGCTTGCGGAGCCAAATTTAATGGAATCTTCGAGATTATGTGGAATATTCTTCAATTTGTAACGTTTTACTCCATTCGAGCTCCACGTTCTGAAACAAGATAATCATAAGATGTGTGTCTCTTGCCTTGTAAACATCCGATTGTGGTGCTTCAGAAACCGCATTTTTGCACAAAACAAGTACAAGCCACAGAACATTCCACTGAATCTAGAAGATTCTGTTGAATTTAACACCATAAGGACGAACTTGTAACAAATTTCATAATTGTAATTACCCAAGCAAAAGTGACCCGAAATTAGCCTAATTAGTATTAATATTATTGTTGGCTTTCCTCGACAAGCTATTCCTCAAATTTTCCTTTTGTGGGGGCTGCAAAAGATTAGAGAATCCACAAGTGTGTGAGAATAATAACATATATCTATATATAATCTAGCACACAAAACCAGTTTTTCTATGTTTAAAGTGGGAACTTTTACACTATGCTACTTTTATTACCTCTATATATATATAATAATACTTTAATAATATTAATTGTAATATATAGATAAAATGCATATTGATATTCGATAGTAGTTAAGAAGAGGCCAACAAAAAAAACAGTCCCCCCCTTCTCTCTCTCTCTCTCTCTGTGTGTGTGTAAAATCTGCTTTTCTCTCTGACTTATCTGACGTCCCACCATCTCTCTTCTCTCTCTTCATTCTCTCTCTCTCTCTCTCTCTCCAATGATCTTATCTCTCCATCTAGTTTCTTTCTTGTGTTTCTCTCTCTACAACTACTATTACTATCTTTCTCTCTCATAACTCAAACCAAATTTGGCAAAAACCAGAATAATCTGTCTTTTCACTACACTGATTTTAGCTGAAGCTCTATTGCTATTACTTACTTTGATAAGGTATGTACTTTGCTTGTTTTGTAAAGTCCTTTTTTCATTTTTCTTTTTCTTTTTTTTTTTTTTTGTGTTTTTTTTTTTTTTTTTTTCTTTTTTGTTTTAACTGATGATTGAATAATCTGATGGTGTTAATTACTATTTGTTTGTTCTTCGGATTTCATCATCATATATAAACCCAGCCAGAATAGTTTGTGTGTGTGTGTGTGACAATTCTTGATTTCTGACAATATGCTTGGTTGGTAAATCAAGAATTGGTTTTATTTTTTTAATTAATTTTTTTTTTGGCTTTTTTTTTTGGTATGTCTGAATTATGGCTGTAATTAAGATTTATGATCTGGGGAATTTCTTATAGAATTAAGTGCATTAATGGAAAGACTATGATAATAAAACACAACATAATTGCTTCTATTGTTCTATAACTCGATTCGTCGCTGCGAATCCGATCCTATGGAAGGGTATTCGAGACGGGTTTTTTCTCTAAAACTCGAAATGAGTGGTATCGGAGCATCGCCCACAATAAGGTTTTTGTGCCAACGAAATTCAGTAGTGATGAGGGTTATTTCTATACTACAACCAGTGAAGATAAATTTTTGTCGTTGATCTACACACACCAACGTGGGTGTGTGTTTGTGTGCATATCAATGGTAAAAGTTACCTAGTATATTTCACCTGGTGCAGCATAGTATAAAACCATGACATGAGTATAGGTAACTAAGGAAGACATGTAACAACAAAATATAACTTCAAATAAAATCTCTCATGTGAATGCATCTCACCCGAATTTCTACAAAGTCGATTTCAGATTCTTTTTTTTATTGTTTAATTATCTTGTATAATTTTGATCTATATCCACATTTGCACGAGCGAGGTGGTGTTAAATTTTTGGGCCGGTCACCAATTATGGAAAAATGATCTTCTATCTTGGGCTTATCGATTATACTATCGGGATCTCATTAGATTGCATAATCTTATACTGGCTAATTTTATCTTGACGTAAAACTATGTAGAACGTAACATTTTTACTAATTAGTAGTTGCACTAATGCAGGGGAATATTCCCACAATGAGGCCGCCGAATTTCAACATCGAATCCGAAGACGAATCCGAGGGGAGCACCAGCCAGGTGGCATCCAACGTATCCATCCAAGAAATCTCTCCGGTCCATTCCAAAGAGAGCATCGACAACAACAACAAAAACGCATCCTACATTCTAGAAGATTCCTCGAGGAAGCATCTAAATCCTCACCACCAAAAAGGTACCGTTACCCTAGACCTAACCCTAGGAATCAACGGCTCCAATTCCGAGACAAAAGACCACGAGACCACAGCAGATCACCCCCCTCCTCCTATTCCTCCACAAGCTTCTAGAATCTTCTCGTGCAACTACTGCAGGAGAAAATTCTACAGCTCGCAAGCATTAGGAGGGCACCAAAACGCCCACAAACGAGAGCGCACGTTAGCTAAGAGGGCCATGCGAATGGGCATGTTTTCCGATAGGTACGCGAGCTTATCGGCTCTCCCGCTGCACGGGTCCACCGCGTATCGGTCGTTGGGTATGGAAGCTCATGGCTCAATGCACCAACAACAAATAGTGCAGAATATTCCGGAGAGGATGCCTTTGCATGCGGGGGTGGTTAGAGGTGGAGCTAGGTTTAACGTTGATCAAGGCTATTTCGGTTTGCCGGTTTATTACGACGAGGCGGAGATGACTTGGCCCGGAAGCTTCCGGCAGGTCGATGGGCTTCATGTGGTCCATCCAAGCTTTGACTCCGGTCATGGGGCCCGTTTAAATTTCGTGGAGACGGGCCCGCCTTCGAGGATGGATTTACCTCTTCCTGATTTGAATCTGAAACTTTGATAAGTAAGTGTTTTTTTCGCTGCTGCAGCCAAATTTTTTTTTTCTTTTTTAATTATTATATATTATTTGTTATGAATATTGTACAGATATTTGAGTGTTGGAGAATGATGAAATGTGAGGTGATCATTTAGAATAGCCCCTGCTTCAGAACATTTATATTTATAGACTTTAAATTAATGGATGTATTACTCTTTAATTGTTACTAATAATGTACTTAATTTCATTTTTTTAATTCTTCGTCTTATTATTATTTTTTATTTTTTTCTTATGTGCATGTACAGATGGAAGTTGAATTTGTCTCACATCATCAATTTGTTAGATTTTGGATTGTATATCTGTATAATTTGTTATGAAAACATATTTGTAATGATCTCACTTGAGCTCGAGTGTACTTGTGTACTTTGTTTCTCTACATAAATATAACAACTCTTTTTTCTAAAAAAAAAAAAAAAAAAACTCTTAAGAAAACATGGTCTATAGTCTTGTACTATGTTACACCTATGAAATACACCAGTTAAATCTTTAGTATTCATACACACACCTATATTGGTGTGTGCAGATCCCGGTGTAACACCTTCACTAGGTCTAACATAGAAATAATCATTTATGTGTATGCAATAAAATTTTATATTTTTTCCATAACAATCATTGTATTAGTTTTCTTCTACCAAATTCATAAAATAAAGGGCAAATTACGGCCACCCCGAAGGTATGACCAAATTACGAAAAAACCCTCTTGTTTAGGAAATTACAGCCGCCCCCTCCTTTTAAATATTTTTACATAAAATTTATGTAATTCGGTTATTTACCGAACCAAATCGTATATTTAGTTCAGTATGAAATGTTGGCGTACCGAAATTTCAGTTCGGTTTTACCGATTTAACATCCCTTAATTTACCTTTGAAGGGGTATTTTCGTATGATAATACATAATTGAGGGAATTGGTGTAATTACCCAGATAGAATGGAGGTTTTCGTAATTTGACCATAACTCATGGGTAGCCGTAATTTGCCATACAATAAATTATGAAATTAGTTTTTAGTATTGAATTCTGATGGATCTATACCCAAAGAGGCCGAAAGAATAAAAGGCCCAAATAATATAAACCAATAGCATCACATGTAGGCCCAAATTGGCAAAGCTTTAACCATAACTTCAAGTGCATCTATAAGAACTTTTCTATTGAAGGGGCTGATTTTTTGAGAAAATAAATATAAGGATAAAATATATTAACTATATTGCTTTATGTAGTACGAAAACTTCAAGTTCTCAACGTATCAGTGTTTCGGCCACGTTTCATGTCCGACACTTGTGGATATCTGCCGGACATCTTATGAACCATTTTATAATTTCAAAAAGTTAGACACATGTTCGAATAACAAAATTTGCTTCCACAATTAATTACATGATTTAATGATCAATTGCAAAATGATAGTTGATAATAATATTTATTTTGAATATTTTTGTATGAAATTGTATAATTATGTTTTACATATATTTAAAACTTTAAAATGTTTATATAGCATATTTATAAATACACCCTCATACTTTTAATATTTTACATATTTTTCCCTAAGTTCCAACGTCCTCATTTTTGGGACATAGTACTGTTTTCCTGTTTCCATCTCCGTGCTACGTTGACTTTACTAACTAACCTCGAACATTTTTTTTTTGGAATTCGATGATAGAGAAAGACGTAAAATTGAGATTTGACATTTTACTATTTGAGAGAATAGAAAGAATTATGTAACAATTTGACACGAATGCCCTGTTTGGTTGACAAGATAAGATTAAATAATCTAATGAAACCCAATTATTTTATTGAAACTTGCAACATTCAACAAAAAAACTCATTAGAAGCCAAGATAAGGCAAGATAAGCCATGATTATATATTTTTGCCGGGTCGACCCGATAATTTATTTGAGATACCAAACATCAAATTAAATCTAACTATTTAGTTAATCATGGCTTATCTTGGCAACAAGACGGGACCTTAATGATAATTATATGCGGTTGTCCCAAATTTCTTCTACAAAAAAGAATTTAAGAACAAAATTGTTGCTTTTGAAAAGTATAATGCAAGTATAAATATAATTTAATGCTCATATTTGTTCTAACACATGGGGAGTGTTTGGCACTCTATCAAAAAAAAAAAAGTCCCAAAGTCATGCGAACAATTGGACTTTTGGACCACTTCAAATGTAAATCCAAACATATTAAAGGGCTATTTCGGGAATTTCACACCACCAGCGAAGCTCTAATGCGCGTCGAAAAGACTTGAAAGTGTGAATACTAAAAAAGAAAGTAAAAAAATTCAGCCGTTGCAACTTGCCAAGTATACAGACAGCTTAGAGAGAGAAAGAAGAGAGAGAGAGAGAGAGAGAGAGAGAGAGAGAGAGAGTCAATGCTCGAAACTTTCAATTTCAATGGCACCCTCTTCCTAAAGATTCTCTCGATTTTGAGCTCTGTTGTAATCTGTAAGTATTTTCAGCTCTTTATCACTCCTCTCTCGTAGTGAAATTACTTGTAATTTCTGGTTTTTGTGAGTTAATTGGGGGTTGACGATGGTGAGAGAGAATTCCGGCGAGTTCTCCGGTGGGAAAAGCAGCGGCAGCCCAGATGAGAAAATGGAGTTTCAACAAACGGGTATCGATTTTCTTGGGAAAAAAATTCAAAAAATCGGTGGGTTTGACGAAAACGCTGCGTTTCACCCCAGACGCGCCGCAAATTTCTGCTCCCAGGAGCTTACTCTTAGCTATCTCTGCGAAAATTCCAAATTAGGGTTTTCAGAAAAGGATATTTCAGGTCAAAACCTGATGAATTCAATGGATAAGTTTAGTGCTAGGTATAATAATACTAACAAGGGGAAAGAAATAGCTGTTTCCGAAGATCAAAACGAAGGGGATGAAAACAACAACAGCAATAACATGTGGGTGGAGAGAGATTTTCTCCAGATGAATGAAAATCGAGGCAATTCATCGAAAAGGGAGGCCGAAAACCTCGAAATCGATGGTCAAAATAGGGAGGAGAAGAAGCCAAAGGTGGAGTCTTTGAACCTCTCTTTAGCCCTTCCGGATGTGTCCCTCTCGTTGGCCGGATCCAACCGCGTCCCGATCCGTGCGGGCCCCGCTCGGAGCGTGCACTCGCTAGGGCCGGCGTCGTGCAACAACACGCAGACCACGTACTCGAACGACTTCACCGTTTCGCACTCGTACTCGCATGCTGTGTCCCACAATCTAAGCTGCTCGCTCACTCGTAATAATTCGACCGAGAATTACGACGGTGACCAGATATGGAACTGTGGTGAGGGGACTAATGGCTCCGTCCACAGCCGATTTCGACCTATTGGAGATGGGACCGTTGCGTTGTCCAATCACGGTGGCGGGTTTAACCGAAGTGGTTTCAATAAGGATTCTTGCAATAATAATAATAATAGTCTTTATAGAGCTGCAAGCTCCGAAAATATCTCATTTTTTCCTTCCGAGTTGCCGGCTAGACCGAGAGTAGATGCTCAATCGGGCGATTCGAGGAGGAATTTGGAAGATGTAGATGTGGCGAAAGGGCGCAAGATTTCTAGACCCGAAAGGATATTAAGAGAAATCGTGTCGGAATCGATTTCCGTAATGGCTCAGATATTCCACGAGCTTACAGATGAAACGATCGAATCTGTTAAGGAGCACTTGAGGAACATTATCAATAGCCCGGAAAAGAAAGACGAATTAGCCCCTCTCCAGAGGAGGCTCGAGAGGAGATCCGATCTCACAAACGAGACTCTCTCTAAGTGCCAGAAGAGCCAGCTCGAAATCTTGGTTGCCATCAAATTAGGGCTAGGGAGTTTCTTGCACAATAAGAACCGACTCCCATCGCAAGAATTGGTGGATATCTACTTGCTCGAGAGGTGCAGGAACGTGAATTGCAGGAGAATGCTGCCCGTTGATGACTGTGACTGCAAGATTTGCTCGACGAAGAAGGGGTTTTGCAGCGAGTGCATGTGCCCGGTTTGTCTGAACTTCGACTGTGCGAGCAATACTTGCAGTTGGGTTGGGTGCGACGCGTGTTCGCACTGGTGCCATGCGGATTGTGGGATCCGCAAGAATCTTGTGAGGCCCGGCCCGCGTTTGAAGGGGGGTTCTTCTTCTTCTTCTTCGGGGGCGACAGAGATGCAGTTTCATTGCATCGGGTGCGGACATGCTTCGGAGATGTTTGGGTTCGTTAAGGATGTTTTCTTGTCTTGTGCTAAGGATTGGTCGGTGGAGACTTTGGTCAAAGAGTTGGAATGTGTCGGGAAAATCTTTGGAGGGAGTGAAGATCGGAAAGGGAAGGAGTTGCATTTGAAGGCCGGTGAAATGGTGGCCAAACTCAAGAACAATACGATGGCTCCTTCGGATGTTTGCAATTCGATCTTTCAATTCTTCAACTGTGAGTTTCTTTCTTTTTTAAAACCAATTACTTCTTGATTATCAGGTTGACTAGTTTTTTATTGCAAAAATGATATGGGTGGAAATTGGAAGGATCGGATCGGAAATAGCACTTCCAGAATAAAATCCAATTTTTTTTCGGAAGTGAAGACCCTAAATTTGATTCCATTTTGGAAAATTTCGGAAAAATTTCGGGAAAATCGGAAATTGGGATGAAAACAACTTGTTCCAAAATTGGAAATTTTCAAATTGAAATATGCGGAATTCGAAATTTCTATTTTTTAGTCACATATGTTATAAAATACGTAATAATATTGATATTAGTGTACTTTTTGGGGAAAAAATGGATTTTTCGGAAATTAAAATCTGATCGGAAATCAGAATCTAATATGTATTCCAATTTTGTATCGAAAAAATCGAAACTTTCAGATTTAATGAACAATATTTTTCCGAAATAGGAAATATTCGGATAGGAATCTTCCGAATTAGAAAATTCAATTCCAATTTCCGCACCTAATTTTGAGAAATTATTGACCTTTGTATCTCATTTTTTTTTAATAGCTACTACAAATGGTTTCATGGAGATGGGATCTTCGAGCACGCCTTCGAAAGATTCGCCACATCAGCAAGGTTTCACTAAAGAAGCTTCCACTCTTCCACTCTCAAATTCCCTCACTCCCAAACCATCCAGCTTCTACAACAACACCAACTCCTCGAACGGGCGACAACAAGAGTCAACAGCGCCCTTTGACTTTTACCACAACGACATCAAACTTCCGATCACGAACGAGAAAATAATCGAGGACGAATGGTCGGTCAAACCTAGAAAAAAAGATGGTTTCGACAGCCTGGAAAGTCTCGTCCGGATTAAGGAGGCGGAATCTAGAATGTTCCAGAGCCGAGCGGACGAGGCTCGTGCTGAGATCGAGAGTTTCAGACGGATGGTCAGGATTAAAACCGAGAAATTGGACGAGGAATATTCCGAGAATCTTGCTAAGCTGTGTTTGCAAGAGACTGAGGAGAGAAGAAGGAAGAAGATCGATGAGCTTAAGGCGTTGGAGAATTCGCACTGCGATTACTACAAGATGAAGTTGAGAATGCAGTCCGAAATTTCGGGTTTGCTTAAGAGAATGGAAGCTACGAAGCAACAGTTAGTTTAGTTTATTTACTGATTTTTTTTTTTTTTTTTTTGTTAATTTTTATATAAATTGGTATTAGCTAACGTTTTTAACGATATTTTGAAATCTGGGATGTCTGAAGTTATGTTGTGACTTGGCTGTCTGTGTATTTATGTACTACCTTGTTCGAATTCGGAAACGTGTATCGTGTTTTTTTGAATGCCTTTTGTTTTAACTTTCATTTTGTATGTTGTCTAAAGCAATTAGTTCTGTGTCTGAATTTTTTTTAATTGAACTTCCCTTTTCAGTTGCTGAGAAATTCTTTCTTTATTTTACAGAATGTAAAGATGATATATATAGTTACATATATCTATATCTATCTATATATATGTGTGGGAGGGTGAAATATCAGAAGATTGTTTAGATTGGAATTAGCATTTTTAGAAAAAAATCCAATTTTTTTCGAAAGTGGAAAACTAATTCTGGAAATCGGAATTTTGGAAATTGGGAAGGGTAAACGTTACAAAGTCGGAAACTTTCTGATCGGAATTTAGAAATTCCAAAATATCGTTCACCCGTAATACAAAATACATAATATTGATATAATTTGTGTAATTTTCGGGAAAAAAAAGTCGGAATTTTTGGAAATATTTTTGAAAATTTAACATTGCGTTCGAAATTGGAATTTAATATGTATTACAATTCCGTTAAAAATAATCGGAAAAATCGAAAGAATTCGAGATTTCCGTTCCCAATAACATTTATTTGACAACAATAGTTGAGGTATATAAACATCACACACACATTACAAGTTCCTACAAACAAATTATTACACTGCGCCACATCAGCATATCCAACAAAGAATCATATGTAGCGTGCAAGAGAAACAGAGAGATCAACGGAGATTCCGAAAAGAAGAATCGACAATCCGAGAAAGTTGATAACACGCGCCTCACTGTGACGCAGCTGCCCCAAGAAACCAACTTTCTCCATCAGCCCCGTTAAGGCCGTGCATATTGCCATGAACATCAGAGCTCTTCCCCCGCTCACGTGCCACGCGGCTGCCCGGGCCCGCGTTTCCATCGGAGCCCCCGGAAATAAAAACACACTCATTCCCAACAACCACTGCAAATGAGAGAGAGAGAGAGAGAGAGAGAGAGAGAGAGAGAGAGAGAGAGAGAGAGAGAGAGAGAGAGAGAGAGAGAGAGAGAGAGAGAGAGAGAGAGAGAGAGAGAGAGACGAAAAGGGTTGAATCAAAATGTTGGTACGTAGCAATACGAAAGAAATAAAACGAAAAGAAGATCGAACTAGTACAATATATATACATATATATATATATATATATACACCTGGAGGCAGAACAAGGAGAATGTGCCAATACCAATCCAAGAATGCAAGCTATACAAATTTGATATGCCCCGTTTCTCATGGAACTTAAAAGCGGCATGCAATCCAACGATACCGAGTACGATCGCCACTAAATGAACGAACATGTGAATGTATTTCTGCACTTTCCTCTCTGCTCCAACGGTCTTGTACGCCATCATTGCTTCTCAAAAAATAAATAAATAAATTGTATAAACACACAACAATTAGTTATTTTGAATTTTTTTGATCATCTTTTAGTACCTTCTCCCGCCAAAAATATAAATCCGAAGAACATGAGAAACGGGTGAACCTGCATATAAAATATTGGAGAACAAATTGGAATAATTACAACAAAATATTATATATCTTGAAATTGCAGAAAAAAAGGGTGTACATTGAAAATACGATTGGGGTCATCAGAATCGAGATCGAGTCCTTCACGGAAATGCAGTAGCCAAACGAGCAGAAGAATGATTGCTAATGTACCGAAAACGTGTGCCAAGATAGTCACACGTAACGCTGACCTTCCATATCTGACTCTGTGAGCCTCGTGTACATCCATTATAAAATTAAATTAAATTAAATTAATCAAAGATTTTCGAGGCTGAAATATATATAATATATGATCATGCAGATGAGTGTCAGTATATATAATAATCAGCAGCAATGGATTAATTAGCTTTATTTTAACAGGTTGCTTGTTATGCTGGTTTGGGATATTTCTTACACAGAAAAGAAAGTTATTTATGCTTTAGTATTCGAGGTAGTTAAAAGCTGTTGTTTTACGATTCAATTCAAGATATGGATTTCAACTTTTGTTACAACACATTGAAAAAAATAATTTGAGATAATATATAAAGAATAAGTGAAGCATGCATAAAGAAACTTGCTACACACGTATCCAAGAATAACGTATTGCTCTTACTTAAAGCGATCCGATCCCTGCTTCATAAGTGCTTTTGGTGGAAAGTAGAACGACGAGTCATGCTTACGTACTCGTTCATTTCATTGGGATTCATCTAATATATAAAGAACCGAACATCTTACTAACTGAATAATTAGTTCGTCACTATAGAGTTAGTACACTTCAATCCAATCCAATCCAATCCAAGATAATCTGACCCATGCAACCAAACAAGACCTTACTATATTAGTTAATTTGTACATTCTACATTGACAATACATGAAAAACCTATGCATCCTCTGAGAAGCAGCTAATGTGAAAAGCCTGAACAAGATCCAGGCTGTAATTATTCTCTGCCGATGAACTCTTTGACGAATTTCTACCAGCAGTGGAATGGCGATAAGGGCGTTTCACGGGGGGTAATATCAGACCCGACTGTTTGTCCATTGATAGTAGTTTACCGCACTTGCTGCACACACAGTTACGGTATTGAGTGATTCAGTTTGGACAATGCAGAGAAGAACTAACTATAACAACAGACAAGAAAATTTACCTGCAGACTTTCATGAATAGTGTTCGATAACTGCAAACCCAGTGCTGCAGCGAAGCGAAGAAAATAATTAAAAACCTGAAGTTAATGGTTTATTAATAACAGTTTAAAAATGTCGTAGATGATTGGAGAATACCAGCAGGGTTTGCAAGGCTGTTTCGGGATTGGCGCAAATGAAGTACTGTAGAGCCACAGAAGCATGTTCCTGCAGTTGTTCATTTATGAAACAGATAACTCAAGTAGTTAGTGGTTGATCTGAGAGAGGAGATATATGCACGTGTGAGAGAGAGAGAGAGAGAGAGAGAGAGAGAGAGAGAGAGAGAGAGAGAGAGAGAGAGAGCACTCTTACCGATACATGCTTAAATACATGATGCGATGAAAACCCGCGTGAATGTAGATAGCTGCCACCCTTTATAAGGAATTTAACAAGTATACATCAGCTGCAGGTTAAAACTTGAAACTAAATGTGTGAATAAAACTTTTAAGACAAAAAGAAAATATACAGCACAGAAGACATAAAAAGACGTGATCAACTACTTGACAACAAAGCAAATTAAAAGTCAAATAAACACGAAGCCTAGCAAGAAAACATTCTAGAATAAGCAATAATTGTGCCAAAAGTACATATTGTTCGGACAAAGAAAACACACACACACACACATTGGGAGTATGAATAACAAAATAACCTCATCGGGCGCGAAGAAAGCCACTGCATCAGGGTCCACTGATCCCGCTGTATGTAATGATACTACAGCTCTAAAAACAGAAGGGAGAAGTAACTCAATCACAGCAGCTTTATCCGCACCATCCATGCTTTGCCCCCACTTGCTTGTGCTTGGAAAGCTACGATTCTTCGATGAATCATCGGCAGAGCTTTCTTTCGCACCAGAAGGCAAAGACGATGCCCGCTTCAACCAATCCAATCTCTGGTAGGTAAATGCTTGCAGACTTGGAACTTCTTTTTCAAGATGTGACAAGATATCGCTCAATGTCTTATGATCGCTATTCTCTTCATGAGATATCGGCAGGGGACTACAATGTTTCTTTGCAGCTGATTCTGCAATAGAATCATCTGCCAGGTGGGGGAAAAATCGCCTTTTTTGATCTGTAAATGCCTTAAGTGCCAATCTGCAGCACATTCAAGCACTATGTAAATACGTATGTATGAAAATTGGTTCTAAATTGTTTCAGTAATCGAGGATCATCTGAAACCAGGAAAGTATCTAAGCAATCTCAGACAAATCTTTTAAGAAAACGACATTAGCCAGATCCAACGGACTTGTCTTCTTACTTCAACTAAATTTTGTACATCAAGTACGTACTTTACTTCTAACTGAACTTAGAACGAATATTGCGACTATATACTTTGGAACCTTGAACACACATAGATGGTGAACCATAATAGAATATACCTGGTCCTGTCAACGGCAGATGCGCCAGCCTGGCCAGCAAGCTGGCGCTTCCATGCATAAGCAACGACAGCGCCATCTGGACAAACAAGAGGCATGTGTAGGCCCCACGAATTACTTCGTGAGCGGAGAGAATCATTTAGAACACCAGATTCCTCCAGCTGTCTTCCTAGCAAATATAAGAGCATATGAGAAACTGAACATGCAAAACACTATTTTCATGCCCCAGCCAAGATAAAAGTGAAAATCCAGATACGAATAAAAAGATTGACAAATGCAAATTGTGCATGAATTAACGTACGAGTTTCAAAGTGCCAGAACAATCAAACTGATCATAAATTCACATCAAATGCATCAAATATGGCACTATTTCTCTATGTCTCGCAATGTAGAGGATTGAGAACTAATAAAATTAGAGTAAGTCCATACAATAATTGTAAAAATAATGCCAAAATTTTGTTTTCGAAATTTTTTTTTCATAACTTGTAAATTATCTGCATGTTTATGAATACCATTTGCAGTTAGTTTCAAAATAACTTTCAATAAGAACGATAATATACTCGTAATAAATATAAAATATTTCCCATCCCGTATATAAACATAATACAGTAGGAACCTCGATAATATTAATACTCCATAAATTGATAACCTCGCTTAAATAATAATTTCTTCCCGTCCCGACTCAATAAAACCGTACTAAATTATTAGTTCGATAATTTAATACTTCGCTAAATTAATAGAATTTTGCTAGTGCCGATTGTATTAATTTATAGAGGTTTAACTATATGTGTAAGAGTTCATACATTGATTGACAAAAAACACTGTTATCAGAAATTACAAATTAAACATAGTTTTTTGCTAAATACTGATGCTACTTGAATCCAACCTATTGTTCATTTATTCACTAATATTTTATTTTATTTATTTTCTGCCTGGTTTTCAATTTCAACTATTTATCAACGAAATTTAGGAGAATTTGTAATTAAATAAATACATATAGAGATACAGAAACAGATTCGTCTGTGAGTATACTCACCAACAGCGCGGAGGTTTTGGAGATGGTGGCGCATTAGAGATTCTTCTTTAATCATCAAATTCAAACACTTGGCAGAATGCTGGTGATGAGGTTTATCCGCCACGAAGAACAACGCTTCCAGCAGCCGATCCGCGCCGAGCCGCACATCGGCGATCAATCGCCCCGCCTGCCCTAGCTGCTCCAGCGCCTGCGCCACCTGCTTCGGCGGCGCATCCCCCGCCGCCGCCGCCGCTCCCTGAGTTGACGGTGGTGGTGCAGCTGTCTGCTGCATTTTCCCTTCCCCCCTTTCTCGCAATTTCTGCAATTGAAACAAATTGAACCCGACCTGAGAATTACAGTATTTGTTGAATCCAATTGGGTAAAGCCCGACCCGATACACTCGTTTTGGGCTCATAATGAATCGGGTTTTTTGGGCTCCAGAATTTATTCATTAGATACGGGCCTGGGCCGGACAACTTTAATTAATTAATTTTTTTTTTCATTTTTTTGAGGACGACATTAATTATTGAAATTTCGTATATATGTTTATTAAACAAAAATAAATTGTTTGAAAGAAAATTTAATTATTTATTTGAAAATTAATATTTTATTATTTTAAGTAAGAATAACGTATGTACAAATATCAAGCTGCTCTAAATCAATTATTTAGATGGTGTTTGGCTAAGCTTATAAGATGTTAAAAATAGCTTATAAGATGTTTTAGAGTTTATAAGCTCTTCCAATGTGTCTGGTATTTTTTTTTTTTTTTTTTTAAAATAAGCTGTTGGAGAGCAAATAAGATTTTTTTAAATACATCTATCCCACCTTTTTATTTAAGATCTTATAATGAGTAGAAATAGAAAATAAGCTTATTATTATCCAAACACAAAATAAGATGTAACAGCTTATCAGCTCTTAAAACATTTTATCAGACATAAGAGCTTATCAGTTGTTTAAAATAAGTTTAGCCAAACGCCCTCTTAATCTTACCATACAACGGGGTAATTTTTAATGGATAGTTATTTGTATATTCTACAGTTTAAAATCAGCCGATATATTTTATCGAATGTAGCATTTCATTGACCGAATTTTGGGGTCTGCATTTAATTCTTTTAAATAGGTGTGGTAGAAAATTAATTATATAAAGTCAATTTGAAAAAAAAGAAAGAAGTATGCGTAGTTGAAAACCACTACTATGTATGGTAATAATATAACTACTTTATTAAATAATTAAAATATAAGTAATGATGGTGAAAATTCATCATTTTGTTAATACAAAAAAAAAAGAAAAAGAAAAAATACAAGTAATGATGACATCATATTTAAATCCCATTATGCACTTGTCATGATATTGGGTATGTAATTATAGCTATAGCGCGCTATAATGGGGTAGGAAATCATTTAAATGCACTCACCAAATTATATATATTTTCTTATGATAGGGCAACACTTATTTCCACTTAAATTGTTAATAATATAATTAATTTCTTAAGTTAAAAAACAAATTGTATTACTTGATGATTAACAATGTTACTAATTGATTACAACTCAACTTGGCACTCAAGACATAATCTATTGTTAATAGCTCTACTCATATAACGGCTATGTAAAAGTATGGGGTTTTTTACTTTTGTACCCTGGAATTATAGGTTTTTGGTATTCTGTGTCCTTAAATTGTGATACTGGCAGATTGCATCCTTCAAACTTAAATTTCTTAGCACTTAGCACCCCAAATTATTTTTAGCTTGAAAAACTTACCGGCAACTTGTTAGGAAACCTGAAAGGATGGCAAAATTGTGGATTTTAGGGTTTTCCGGTAAAAACACAAGGATGAAAAATTGGGGACCAATGTTTAAAAATTTGGAGGACGATAATAAGAGAATGACAAATTGGCCCTCCTTGCAGGTTTCTAACAAGTCGCGAGAAGCTTTTTCAAGCCAAAAGTGATTTATGCAAAGTGCCAAGAAATGCATGTTTGAAGGGTCAAATTTGCCAATTTCAAAACTTAAGGGTGTAATGTGCCAAAAGTATGTAATTCGATGGTGTAAAAAGCCAAAAACCCATAAAGTATGATTAGGGAGCACTAACTATAATTAATTATACAACTGTCCAAGGGTCTTGTGGCCTTAAATTGTTGTACAAGCAACCAATTTGATTAGTTCAATGAACCTAATTTGATCGAGACCTTGGATCCCCACAATTTCAGTTATTCACTAATTGTATAATGATAAATCATATTTAATTTAAAAAAAAAAAAAGTACTAATTGTTTTTTTGATTTTTTTTTGAGAAAAAAAGTACTAATTGTTTAAGATTATAGTTATTTTGAATTAATAACTTAGTTATAGTGACAAAAACAATTATAACATATAGCTAGAGACACAATAATATATATATTCTTACATTAACACCAAAATGATATTTTTAGTAATTTTATTTTTCAAATATATAATATACTATTTCATTATATGATATGGCCAATCTAGATACATATATGAGTAAGCTTTTCATTTGAATTGAATAATTGACCTATTTTTTGTTTTTCCAAGTATATTCCATATTTTGGGGAGGCATAACTTTTTGGAAGGCAACACTCCTTCGATTGAAGTGATGAATTTGGACAATTGTCACTGTGACTTAGTTGACCTTACCCCTAGCTACCTATATATATAGGCTAGTTGTAAGTACTTATTCAACCCCATAAGCACTTTCCTATATATTTAGGATAAATTACAACCACCCCTGATGTATGGTCAATTTACGAAAAAACTCCTCTTATTTGGATAATTACATCTATCCACCTTTATAATGTCAAATTTAACATAATCATCTAGATTTCGTGGAATGTGTCTAATTTGTACTCGTTTTATGTAAAAATACAATTTCTGATGCACCACAATCTGATATATACAAGCCAAAAAACACATATTATGATCATCTTGCTTCAAAATGTGGGGTTCGAATTGAATAAAACGGGTACAAAAGTGATAATATTCTATTTCATATCATCTCGAAAATTCCACTAAATTTGAAACCGCAAGGTTGGACGTGTAAGAAGATTTAAAGTTGAAGTGTACCCATATATATATATATATATGGTGGTGGAAAATGGGAAATGCTTCTAAAATCATAATTTGACAAGCCAAGCTGCATATTAATTAATAATGATTTATATATGGGCCGGTCGAGAATATAATATAATGAAGCCAAAAAACTTGATTGTCTTTGTCAAAGATATCATTTGCACTAAACTCTAATGCTCTTGGACCCCATTTTTTTTTTATTCTAATTGTATTTCTCATATGTAATATATTTATGTTTTATTATATTTATTTTTATTTGGGGACCATATTATTATTATTATTATTATTATTATTATTCTTCTTCTTTAATTTTATGTATATTCCGATCCCACCATCTCATTTCATGCAAAGTGTTATCTTTTGTAGGGTCCTAAAATTAATGCACAAAGAGATACACACAACACACACATGCATAGAGAGAGAGAGAGAGAGAGAGAGAGAGAGAGAGAGAGAGAGAGAGAGAGAGAGAGAGAGAGTACAAATAAAGAGTCACAGAATACAGAAATCTTTATTTGGACAAGTTGAGCTAAAGTTTCGGCGATCGTTTTCGAGTCACATAAATCACACCAACGCATACTTTACTGTACCCAACTCTCTCAAATACACACACCATACACAACTTTATTAAGTTGTTGTATCTGTTATTAATTGACGTGTCTGATAAATTTAACTTAATATATAGTTCTACACAATTCTCTCTTTGTGTGTGTGTGTGTGTGTGTGTTTGTGTGTAAAATACAAAGTTCATGCATATTCAATGATTCCAAAAACTGTTTATTTCATATCAAAACATTAATTAGGCAGAAAATTAAAATAAAGTGATTAGAGAATTAAAAGAAATTATCCCAAAAAAAGAAATTAAAATTCTTGTTTTCTTTTTATAATTGTTGATAAATGTATGAATGGCATTTTATTTAAGTAGGACCATATATAATCAAGGTTTTCAGGATCAGCATCATCACTCACAAATTGGCAGATTATGTTTTACAGCCTACACATGATGAGGCCAAGTGGCTAAATTATATTCTTTTTATTTATTATTTCACAAAAAAAAAACCCAATATAAATAGAAATAAATTTCATTTATTATTAATATAAAAGAAGAAAAATAAAATAAAAATGGAAGATTCATTTATCTTATTCATGGACATGGATTAGGTATATGCACATGATCAAGAGAAAAAGAAAAAAAGAAAGGGGTGTGGGTTTTATTTTAGTGGTGGGGTTTGTGTGTTAGGGTTTGGTTGTGGATAGACCTAAATTCGGCGCTCCATCTTCCTGATGACGTGGCCATCCATATTTAATCTAACTCACATGATAAGTATTAGCCATTTGTCTTCCGACACGTGTCCCTGACAATGATTTTGTGTGGTCCATTTTACCCCTAAAATTCTAACATCTTACCACACTAAGGGAAATTGGAACAAGAATTTCAATTTCGGTCTTGATTTCAAATTTTTAATTTTTTTATTTTATTTTTATATGATGTTCTTCATTTTGAATTTAAAATATTATAATTTCTCATTTTTTGAAATTTTTTTAGCGACATTCCTTTTGTTTAAATGAAAGAATGTGTATAAATGCACAGGGTAAACCTACACTCTCGTATAATAACTTGCAAATCATACGAGAGACGTAAATTACACTAGGTTAATGTGGCAAGTTCAATCTAAAGATCGTTGGCAAATGAATTCGAACTTGAGCCAATTAACACAAACTCGCATGCTCCAGCTGTTCGATCATCCCTTGCGAGACAACAACGACACTTATTTTCACCTCATCGGGTATGAGATTTTTCAATGAAGTCAAATATAAGTATTTGATTTAGTCTATTAATATAGTGAATTGATGACTCGGGTAGGGACCGATCAATCATATGTTATAGTATCAACTATTTGCCGGCTATAACTCAATTATTTTTTCCTAGTTATGGCAAATCAGCTGATCATATACATATATATATATCTATTGATGTAGTCGAGTGATATATTCAACCTATATCACCGATTTGATTGATTGATTTGTTTTTATTTAACTTATGATCAATGTTGTATTTTTTAAAGGTATTGTTAGGGGTGTTCATCCCGCGAAATCGACCGAAGCAAAAATTTGGTACGTCCTGAATACCGAACAAGTAATTCGATTCGGTATTTAGTTTGTTGGTTTTCGAAATTCTGGTAATTCAATTTTATCGAATACCGAAATTTTATTTATATATGTAATACTAATATATACTAAAGTATATTTATTTTTACACTACAATTTATAAATTAAAAAAA